GACTGATTTACACCAGTAAGGAGCTGGCCCCAGCAGGAAGCTGAGATGTTTGCATCCCTTGGGGTGGGCACAGCAGCATCTCAGTCCCTGGGCTTCCCCCTAAATCACAGCACGGGGGAGGGTGGAGGGAGCAGTGAAAACCCGGCGGAGAGCTGGGGGAAGAAGGGGGCTGGGTCGAGCTGCCTCCTCTTCCGAAAAGCTCTGCTTAATCAAAGGGAGAGCGGAGCACGGGGTTGGTTGTTTTTAATTTTCTAAACCCCCAGGGTGGCCCCCAGCCAAGGCCTCCTGGCGATGGAGGGGATAAAGTTCCTGGAGCCACCACGAAAAAACCCGTGCTCTGAACTTTGCCTTCCAGCTCGCACGGCTGCATCCCTCCCGGCGTCCCGCAAACGGATGCTTTAGACCCGGCTTAGCAAGGCCACGCTTCACCGGAGACCCCCCAGCAAGCCGAGCCTGTGGTGCCTTGTGAGAGGTCGCTGGTCAGAAGAAGGTAACTTTTTTTTTTTGTCCTCTTTCTACTTTTTCTCCTCCTTTTTTTGGTCTCTTTTTGCAAACTTGGCGTGGCGGGGGAAGCCGGGCTTAATGAACCCGCGGAGTTGATTGTAAAAGCCAGCTTCAGTCTGCAGCCTGCTTGCTTACAGTGGGGTAAATCCCTCTCTTGGGGGCTGCAGGAGCCCCCCAAATATCCAAACTCTTCCCTTAAGTGGTGATTTCACCTCCCTCTTGGGAAGCAATGTGGGGGGTGGCTTTTCCTGGGAGATGCTCGCTCCCCCCTCCAGCATCAGAGAAGCGGAGGTTCTGGGGGTGCTCAGCCCTGACCCACCCCCAGAGCTGCTTTTCCTGCCACTGTATGACTTTGTCAGCAGGTTTCGGTGCAATCCTGCAAACTCCTGACTTTTTTCCTTCCCCCTGGCTTGTGGGGGGACTTTGTGTGCAGCAGGTGCTGCTGCCTTTGCTTTGAAACTAAGGAATAGGGATGGGGGGTCAGAAGCCTAAAAATAACCTTAAACAGCCTCCTGGGTTGAAACGTTTAAGCTGCCTTTGCTTTTAAGGTGCAAAAGGAGCTGCTTTGGCTTTCTGGTGAGCGTGTTTATGATCTCGGTGGCGGATTTATTATCTGCAGGCTCCAGCTCTGCGGAGGAGAGGGGTTGGGAAGAGCTGGAGTGGTGGGGGTCAGGATGCGGGAGGGATCTGGGGAGAAGGGGGGTTGGATGGGATGAGAACCAGCCTCACAGTGTCTGAGCTGGGAGGAAAATTTTGTCGGAGTGGGATGACTGGATGGGATGAAAAACTTCCTCCGGACCTTTCAGGGGTTTTCCGAGGGGACAGATAGAGCCGTGGGCTGGGGCACGACCAGGTCACCAGACACTGGGTTTCCCGCATCAGTGCAATGAGTTGGGGAGTCCTCAGTCCCCTGGGGCTGAGCCTGTCCAGGGGAGGGTGGGCAGAGATTTCCCGGAGTGTGTGTGGGCTCCTGAACGCTTGCGTTTGGGGAACTTGGGGACAGCGTGGAAAAGAAGCTGGAAAAAAGATCTGTTTTTCCAGAAAGATGATAAAAGTCTTCAAAAAGCTCAGGGCAAGGGCTGGCAGGGGCATCTTTGGTGCTTGGAGGGCTCCACAGTCAGTGGTGGAGGGAAGGGGTGGGACCGAGTGTCCCCTCACCCTGCCCAGCTGAGCACAAGCAGCTGCAAACCAACTTCTCTCCTCTTGCTTTGGGGCTGGGATGCTGATCTTGGGGGACTTTGGGAGCTGAAGTTGGCTGGCTTGGCTTCTGCTGATGTGAGACCAGGCTTTGCCTTTCTGAGCATCAGCTGAAGCTGCTAAATCCACCTTTGGGAATGAGCATCTCAGGAGCTGGGTCACCATCTCCTCTCTTTGCTGACATCCCCCAAAGCCATCCCTGCGTCACCTGGTTTTGCAGGGACCAGCCCAGCAGCCACCAGCTGCTGGCAATTGAATTAGAGGAGATCGTGCTTAAACAACTCTTCCCCCCCCGCCCCCAACATCACCCCCCAGCCCAAGGGCTCCCTCAACAATTGTGAAATGAGATCTTTATCATTTTTATTAAAAGCTGTACACAAGGCATCCCCATTAGGCAGGATGGGAGGAGGGAAGGGGGGTAATTCCCTTATGCCTTCCCTTTTCTCTTCCTTACCCCCCCTCCCAGTTTAATTCATAGTAGTGGGATGCAAAAGCTCCCCAGAGAGTGATGGATAGTGGGAAATGAAGAATATAAAGGATCTTTATTGAAGCCATCAATCTCAGGCGAGGCTGCTGTGATCAAAGGCCCAGCCTGTTTCGGCAGAGGTTACGCAGAGGAGCAAAGAGATCATGTTTCGGGGAAAACGCAGGGCACCAAGGGGATGCGGAGCCGGCGAGCTCCTGGCTCAGCTCCGGCAAGAGGAGCCAGCGCCCGCCGAGTGGGGTGGGGAGTGGTGGCCATGCCCTGGCTGGGGATGCTGGTCCCCCTGGGGTTTTGGCACACCTCCTTTGGACATTGGGCAGGAACAGCAGGGTTAACTCTTCCCTGCGTCATGGTGAGGCTGAAGACCCTCATCGAGGCTGAAGACCCTCATCGCATCCTTCAAACACCCATCCACCTTTCCTGCCTGTGCCACCAAGGTGTCCCCTCCAGAGCAGCACCAACCCTGTTGGTCAGGGCAGTAGGAGACACATGGGGTCGGGGCTTGGCTGTCCCCATGTCACCCCATCACTCATTTTGTGGGGTCCAGCAGATGGGTTGGAGTCTCTGAAGCACCTCCTGTTTTCTCTAGACTATTCAAGGATGGTGACCAAGATGTTGCTGCCTTGCATGGTGGACCACAAGAGGGGACCCTCCCCTGGAGAAGAAGAGCATCCACTTCATGAAGATGAGCGGGCTGGGCTGGAGGATTTGAAGGTGCTGAGGCACCGTTGACCCACTTTGGTTCCATACTCAGCCAGAGACAGGCAGCAAAGCCCCAGGCTCCAAATGTAGGTGATACTTGGAGCAAGGGCAGGCTGGAAGGGGAGCTGATACACCACCCAGGGAGCTTGTCAGCTGGGGCTCGTGATGTTGCTGCCTGGTGTGGATTCAGGCCGCAGCTTGCCCAGTGGGGCTCCCTGACAGCTGTATGTGCCTCTCGCTGGGCTTTTGTCTCCTTTACTTCCTGCTTTTCTGCAGCCGCCGTATCCCCAGGCAGCTGAAAATCAGGGCACTGGCAAGGTGGCCCCTGCTGGCTCATTCGGAGGTGGGTTATGTGGGGCTGGTGCGTAGGCAGATCTTGCTTTCTGTTGGTTGCCCCTCTTTGGGTGACTCCACGGGGAGGCGAGAGGGGCATGGCCAATCCCACGGTAGCTTTGGGAGCCAGTCCTTCACCTGAAAGCTGCTTGGCAAGGGAAGCAGCATCCCTTTGGGGCACGGGCTGGCTTGGCTCACCTTACTTGCCTCAACCCCAGCTCCATCTTCCAAGCCCTAGCAGCCTTTGGTGACCCCAAAGGAGGGGAAAGGGGCTTGCAGATGTGTGTGTGCACTGCTGTGGACTTTCCAGGCTCCTTCTACCTTTTTACGGAGTGCTACATTCCTGGGAGGTGAGGTCAGAACCGCTTTGCCGTGCAGGCAAAACCAAGAGATGGCTGGAGAGTCGATGCCTTGAGACTGGGACATGTTCTGGGTGGGTCGAGGATATGGTCTGGGGTCTGTGTGAGTTGGGTGCTCTCCTGGGGCTGGTGGGCTCCATCCTTCTTCTTCTGGTGGGGAGCAGGATGGTGCTGGCACCCTGACGTGGACGACATGCTGGGGTGGGGGGGACCTGCTTTCTAGATGAGTTTTGGCCCTCTGGGGAGGGGTGTGAAGGTCCCAGCTCTTGTGTCCTGATTTAAAGGGAGTCCCTGGAGGGGATCCAAAACCTGCTTGGGGACGTGATACCCAGCGGAGCATCAGACCATGGGGCACTGTGGCCATTGTGGCAAGTGCCACTTGTCTGCCCAGAGGTGGGGCTGCCTGGGGGGCCACAGCCCAGATTTGGGGAATCTCTTTGAACCTGGTGTGTTATATCCCTCCCAGTCCCTGGTGAGCACCAGCTGTACAAACAGCAGCTCGGAGCAAAGCTGCTGGCTCTGTCATCCATCTCATACCCGTCCCCTCAGAGCCACCGAGCAGCCTTAGAGGGTTTGGTGACATCCCCAATCTGTGGGATGAGGTGTCCCCAGGTCCTGGGCTGGTTCCTGGGGTTTGGAGGCTGCACTGAGCATTGCTGCCCAGCATTTGGGGACATCTTTGGGCACCGCCTTTCCGATAGTGATGGCAGATGAGGCACGTTGCAGCTTGTGCGATGTAGGTCTGGGACAGCAGTGGAGGGTGTGGGGCTGTCTGGGCCAAAATCATCAAAAAATAACGAAGAGAAGGAGAAACAAGAGCTTGTTGGGTCTGGCAGTGAGACAAATCCTTCTTCCTTTTTATTGTTACAAAAGGAGAGGATCTGAGGTTTCCCCCTGAGGCTGGGAGAGGCTGGATGCTGTGTGTGGCATCTGGTGGCACAGGGGGACATTGGGGACACCAGGGCACAGGCTCCCCAGATGCGGTGAGATCTCACCCCTGCTTTTGCCAGCCAGCCTGTGCTGCCGAGCCCAAAACTTGACCCTTGCACTGGTTTTTTCGAGTCGTTGGCGTAAAAGCTGTTAAAGAACCCAAACAAAGGCTCCGAGTCTATCAGCATCCCGCGGCGGGCAGGGAGCAGCCGGGGGGGACGATGAGGTGTGCCCTGAGGGCTGGGGTTGTGCAGCAGAGGGGGGGTTCATCCCTTCTCCCTCCCTCTGAATCTGCATAAAAGCTGGATCCTTGGAGGCACAGCTGGATTTTGAAAGCTCCCGCTCCCTCCCTGGCTGCGGGAGTGACCTGAGAAGATAAAGCCTCTTGGCTCAGCACCTCCAGCCCGGTGTTTCCAAGAGCCCAGGAGGACCCACCTTGGGAAAACCCGGTTGCTTTCTGCCTCTGGCTGCCTCTCACCATCTTTCTCCAGCCCGCAGAGGGAGGAAGAAGACGGCCATGGCCACGGCCACCAATGGCTCTGGCGGGATGCACAGCGCTCTGCCGGACACCAGCTTTGTCAGCACTGAAGACCTTGCTTCTGACTGGTACATCTATGAAACCATGGAACCAGCCGTGTCACAGGATGAGTAAGTGTCCAGCCTTGCTGCTGGGTGCCATACATCCCCCTGTCCCTGCTGGGGTCACCCTGGGCAGCTGCTAGCCCCCTGCCCAGCTGCTCTATCCCCTTTCTGTCCCCTGAGCAGCAGAGCCAGGATTTATTCCTGGGTGAGCGGAGGTAATTCAAAAGTCTTGTTTTGGCCCCCTAAAAATGCTTCATTTCTTTAGGGTGCTTCTAGCAAGAGCTGGGGTAAACTTTGCAATGGGCGTCTCTGCTGGTTATGCTCCTTTTTGCTTCACCTTCCCCAAAAAGCAAAGCCTTGACAGTCAATCCCCTGCCTTAATCCCACCCCAGCTCCCCGCAAGCAGCCAGGCGGATTTTGTCTCAGGGTGAAGAGTTGGCAGCACACTCCGATCTGTGGCAGGCAGGCAGGGCTGGGATGCTCGGTTGGGTCCCTGCACAGCATGGCAGACCTGGATGGGTTTTCTACTTGCAAAATAGGGCTGAGCATCCCTGGGCTTGCATGGATTGCATGGATGTCTTCTTTCCCCCTAAAAATCGGTGTGTCTTGTAAAGCTTGTTCCCTGTCCATCTGTGGTGATCCCCTCTTTAACTGAGCATACCCCTCAAGAGCTGGGTTGTGTCTGCCCCAGGGATGGGACCCCAGGGACCAACCTGTCAGCAAGGACCCAGCGCTTCATGCCCTCCCAGCCCAGTGTTCTTTCCGAGGACAAGAGAAGGGAAGGATAGGGAGGGGAAACTGAGGCACGGAGCAGCAGGGAAATTTATCCAAGGTGTCCCCCCAGGCTCAAAGCTGGGCATCCCAAGGTCCAGCTAACAGCATCTATTGTCCCTCTGTTGACTCAGTCCTCCTCAGGTGGGTTTTACGCCACTCACTTGACCGATACCTAATCCTGAGGGCAATCAAGAGGAGATCCCAGCCAAAGGGTTTCTCCTCATCCTTAATCTTCTGCATAGTGAAACAGTCTTTGAAATCTCCTTGCCCAGCCCCACCTGCATGACCCACACCTCTGCTAGAAACCTTGGGGTATTTTCTGGGTGTTGTCCTTTGCAGCAAGCCATGGGCAGTGGCGGGATGGAGGTTTCCCCATCTGCTGGCTCCTAGATGCTCTGGATTTAGATGCTGAAGCCCTGGTGATACCAAAAAAAGGGTTTTGGTATCCTGTCTTGTGGGCTGGTGCCCTGGATTTCCAGAGCCTGGGTATTTTTGGACAGCAGAAAAAAAAAGGGTTTATCCAAAGCCAGCTGTTGGCAGGGAGAGAAAAAAAAAAAAAAAAGGCAGAAATCGGAGCTTTGCTAATGAGAGCTGGTCTGATAAAGCCTTTTCTGGCAGGTTGGTGACAACCTTGGACGTAGGATGCTCAAGAAATCCTAATTTCACTGTCAGACCATTCCCTACAGCCTTGCTCGGGGGATCTCTGCAGCTGGTCTCCCATTTCTATGGGGTTTGGGCGGGCACGAGGGCTCATATAGGGTTCCCCCCCTAGAAGTGTTGGGGCTCAGGGGGTTTGACTCCCCAGCACAGGGATTTGCCACCCTGTGTTGGATGAAGGTGGCTGGGCACAATCGGTCTGGCCTTGGGGAGAGGAGAAGGGCTATGACAAAGCAGAGATTAAGGACTCTAATGGAGGCCAGAGGGTGGATAAATAAACAAAGAAAAGCCTGGCATGCCTGCTCAGCTGGCCTTGGCTGGCTGGGTGATATGGCTCCAAGACCCCCTCCCACACCCTACCCTGGGCAGCCATCGCCTCTGCAGTCCCCCCAGCACCGGGGCTGGTCCCTCTCCCATGGGAAAGGTGTCAAAACACCCTCAAAGGGGTTTGAAGCCTCCCAGCTGGTGTTTAATAAGTGCTATGCCTTACGCAGCAAGGAAATTACTGCTTTGCAGGCGGCATCCCTCGGAAAGACAGAGCCAAGACAGATCCGGGTGTCAAAGCGGGGCTTCACCCTTTGGTGCTGACCCCCTGTCCTGCCTCAACATCCTTGTATGTGCAGGGAGGTCACCCAGCCCCTGTGGGAGCAGTCCAGGGCCACTCCCGTGTGCTATCTCTCTACTTTGATCATAAAATTGTCTCATGAGGGTGATTTCATCCTTAGTAATCCGTGGTTGCATAGCCCTGCTCTCCGGAGCTCTGCCTCTTCTTGGTGTCCTACTGAAATCTCCGTTGCCATCATGTACGTGGGCATTTACCCTTTTGGGACTAAATACAACCACACATGATTTTTTTTCCCACCCCTTCTTTCTAGCATGTTCCCCAGTGCGATCCCAGACTGCCACCCCACCATTTCTCCCAGGCTGTATCACATCTGCATGGCACCCATCTCCGTAAGTACCCGCCGGGTCCCACAGGGTGGGTTGGCTGCCCCAACGTCAGATTTGCTCTCCCCCAGCTCGGGTCATCCCCATCTGCTCCCAGGTAGCATGCCTGGGCTCTTCAACTTGAGCTGGAGCGAGGTTTGAGCCGAGATGCTCCAACAAGGGACTTGCATGGCTCCAGACTTTGTTTCATGCCTGGAGTCAATGGAAGGCTTTGATTTATTTCCATTTTTTTTCCCAGCATGGTCCCTCGGAGGCGTTTAGAGCCTGTAACTCATCAGAGCAGCTCAAGCTGTCCCTGTTTCAACTGTGGCTGGATTTGGAGTGTTGGGGGCAGATGGTGTCAACGTGGAGGCTCCCATCACATAGCAGCATGGCTGAGCCCCCCACCCAGACACCCCCCTACACACACATGTATTTATTGCTCCCTCCATTGGGTTTTTGGTAGCTGGCCGTGCTTGTGGGCTTGTCCTTGCTGGTGAAACGCAGGCGTCTCCACCGGAGCTGCTGGAACGGCATCCCGGGACTGCTCAGGTACCCTGGCCCTGGTCCCCAGGGTCCCTGTCACCCCACAGCCAAGTGGGTGGAGGAATGCTGAGGTGCAGCATGAGATAAAGCAGCTCTGGGGCAGAGGATGGTGGGGATGGGGTGCTTGTGATCTGGTGTCAGGCTCATCCCTTCCTTGCCTTGCAGTCCGGCCAACTTCCTAGAGGAGGAAGGCAAGCAAGGGCTGGTGGCTGCAGTGTTTGGCATCCTCTTCTCCTCCCTGTGTGTGCTGATCTTAGACAAGGACCCTCTGCCGCTTGTCACCCATTCGTCCCAGAGCACCCAGGGTAAGGCAAGCATCCTCCAGACCCATGGCCACCATGCTCCTCCCCACCCGGGAGGCATGGAGCTTTGGGTGGCACCCTGAGCAGCCTGTTCACTCTGCTCCATACAGAGGGTGCTGCCTTCTCTTGCCTGCTTTGCTCTCCCTCCTCTCTTCCCATCCACCCCATCATTCCATCATCCCATCTAGAGTACTGGAAGATCCTGGCTTTGCTCTACTACCCCGCCTTCTACTACCCCCTGGTCGCCTGTGCCACCGTCGGGCACAGGCTCAGCTACCTCGTGGGCTGCCTGCTCTCCTGGTGCCACTGCGTGGTCCACATCTGGCAGAAGGTGGATTGTCCCCAGTCACCCAAGGTTGGTGTCCCAGCACCTGGGGAAGGAGCAGGGAGGCTGGTGTGGCCCAGGGCTGGAGGTGGCTTTCTCATCACCTCCTTGTAAGTGATGTGAAGGTGTCACACAGCCTGGACTAGACCCCCCAGGCTGGGGTGGTCTCATGTGTGACATCTCTGCTTCTCCCCAGATATACAGGTACTACTCCACACTTTCGTACGTCCCCATCATCCTCTGCCTTGTGCTCTTAAGCCTTTGGTATCCAGCCCTGCTCATCAGGAGTTTCACCGGGCAGGAGGACACCTTGGACAAGGAGGTAATGAAGATCCACAGGGTGACTGGGGGGATGGTAGTGTGGGAGAACCCCTTGATGGACCTCTGCCATGGAACCCCGTGGGAGAGGGTGGGAGAACCCCTTGATGGAGCTCTCCTGCCCCTCAGACCACCTTGGGACTGGGAGAACTGGGGTGCTCCCAGGGCACGTGTTCCCCACTTTGCTCCAGCACTGGGAGCTGCTTCTGCCCTGTCCCTCTGATGGCACAGGTCGCGGCTCTGTTTATCTCACAGGATTTGGAGAGGGAGTGAAAAAATCTTTGGAGTAAACTCCTTAGTACAAGAGGCTTAAGGCATCAATGCATCCCATTCAAAGCGGGACTGGGGTTGCTTTGTTTTCCCAGCAGGCTGGATAATCCTCGGCCCTTTGGGAAATGCTGGGCTTTGTTGGGAAGAGAAGAGGAAAAACCTACTTAAAAAAAAAAAAAAAAAAAAGCCCTCAGCCCAAGAAGCGTGGACTGAAGTGACCCCCAGGCTTTCTGGGAGCTGGCTGATGGCAACGAGGGTTTTCAGCCGTCCTACCGGTGTGCCCGGTTTTGGGCGGCTTTGTTGACGGGAACAAGGCAGATCTGTTTTCACCTTTGCGGCACGGGATGATTTGCTGCCAACACATTCGGGGCTGGGAGCCCATCATCCGCATCCCATAGGGAGGATGCTGTGAGGCATCGTGGTGGCTGGGGAAGTGGAGCAAGAAAGAGAAAACCAGAAAAGGCAGAGCCCTGTGTTCCAACCTGGCACCTTGCTTCTGCTTTCCTTAAGGTTCCAGGGAGAGGTTATTACAAGAAGTACCTGAAGGCCGTCCTGTCCAAACGCCCTCGGAAGGGGAGGTAAGGATAGCACCTTCCCAGAGCTCCGCAGGACCCCCAGGCGCCTGCCCACTGCCTGAGATGGGAGCAAAGGGGGTCCCTGCTCCCCAGGGACATGCTTTTCACCCTCTCCTTCCTCCTCCAGCTCCACGAAGCTAGAAGAGAGCCTCCTATCCAGGGTCCAGACGTATTTATGCTCCTACATCTACACTCCCGAGGAAGGTAGGCTGCCGGGCTCTTGGCCGTGGCTCGGCAAACAGGCTGCTTCCCCCTCCCCTGGGAGAGCAAATGCTTTTCTTGGCTCCTTCCCCAAAGCATCTGTGCCGCGGCAGCTGCCGTCTTGCCGCACGTGCGACACCTCAGCTTCGCACAGGCTGTTGCAGTTTGGGTTGGGGAGCTGGACACCCTTCCCCACCACGGGGACATGGGTTGTGCTAATATTGCAGCCTGGTGCTTGATAGGGGAAAAAAAATCAACAATAAGGGAATAAAATCCCTAACAGCCCAGGAATGTGGAACTACCCCTCATCCTCTCTGCCCAGAGAGGAAGCAGGGGCTGTCCCAGGGGGGTGGCACCCTAAGGGACATGGCACCACGAGGTTTCGTGGGCTTGCAGGAGATGATCAGTAGGAAGGGAACTCATCCAGCCAAAATACAGAGAAAGTATTCGCAGCTTCACATCCTTGCAGGATTTCCCAGGAGAAATCCCAGTTCATATTTGAGCGCCTTGTTCCAGTGCTCTCCCCTGGGTGTTTGCTTTGGCTGCTGGGTTGGGTGGCCCTGCAGCCTGCTCTAGTCTCCCCTCCCGACCCCATGTCCCCGATACACCCCTCTAATTCTGCATTCCAGGTTTCCGGATCCCGCTGAAGCTCGTCCTGTCCATAACCACGGCCATGATCGCTGTCTACCAGGTGATGACAATGGTTAAATGTCTTCTTGGCTCTGTCCTCTTGAAGCAGAGGAGCCCAGAGGTCATTACCACACCACAATTTTGGCTGCAGGGATGGTATTAACGTGCCTCGAGGTATTACCATCCCTCAGCTGAGCTGCAGCAATGGGCCATGTGCTTCCAGAGCTCAGGCAGCCTTAAGGCTTTCAGCTTAGGTGATGGCTCAGCGGTGGGATGCCGTGACCTGGAACTCACGTGGCACCGTTCCCTCACAGGTCGCCCTGCTGCTCCTCGTAGCCGTCGTCCCCACCATCCAGATTGTACGGGCTGGAATGACAAAGGACGTCGTGGTGCTGCTGGTCCAGTTTGGGTTGGTGCCCTCAGAGAGCCCGGCCATGCTGGGGGACATGGAGAAGGAGCTCAACACCGTTAAGTACTACCTGTGGGCGCTGGAAGGTGGGTTCCCAGCCAGGTCCTGCCCCCAAAAGTGATCTTTCAGGGAGGATTTCAGAAGTTATCAGAGAGATTTCTAACCCAGTGGATGGTCCAGGAAACCTGTTGGTGATGGGGTGGCTTCCAGGGAAAGTTAAAAACCAGCTGCCGCGGCCATGCAGACATGAGAGGCGGATGTGGGAGCCTGGTGCCGTGCCAGGCATCTCTGAGCGGCGAGGTGGGGAGAGCCGGCAGCACCATGCTGCAAATGCTGCCCTTCGTCTGTGGGCTTTGATATGTGCTGGAATCGAGCAGATGGCTCCCAGCCCCCCAGAGCTCTGGATGGGGGGGATGAAGGGATGGCAGGAGTGTCCCCCTCCCTCCACGGCACTACCTTGGGGTACCACCATCCTTGGGGAGCCTTCTGATGGCTTTTCCAGAGTCAGCCAGCCTCCTCTCATCCTCTCTGTTTTCCTGACATCACCATCCCTTCTACCAGACCTCTTTCCCCCCCAGAATTCCCTTTTCTGAGTGCATCTTCCCAGGCTCTCTCCATCGCGCTGCCTGCTTATCACAGCTTGCTCCATGATTTTTCCAGCGCTGAGCTAGTCTCACTGCTTGTATTTTCCCTGGAAGCTTTCCCCTTCCCTTTCACCATCTTACTAGCTCATGCCCATCTGGGAGATGGAAATCCCTGTATCACCAAGGGGGTAGGGCAGGAAACTGAGACACAGTGCCCTGATGAGGGGTACATCCATGCAGCCCTGAAACTCAGCCCCATAACTCAGCCCCTTGCAATGCTCCTGAGATATATTTTTGTTTTGACAATCAATGGGGTTAGCAGAAAGGACACAGGCACCAAACTAAAGAAGTAAACTTATTTTTACTTATGTTTAAAGTGATGAAATAATGAGGAAAACAATACAGTGAAAATGAATTAAAGCAAGATAAGGTAAAGCAGCAAAATAACAAGTGAACTACCATAGCAAGCATACAATAAGGTAATGCACCTGATCACTACTACACAGAGTTAGTGATAGTGATTAAGAAAGATCCATCACCAACTGCCCTAATAGTACGTTACCGTCATCCAGATCTGCAGTCGCTGGGGAGCCCGGTTGCAGTGAGGATTTGCAGAACCCTTCCCGGCCATTGGGAGATTTCTATACAGTGCATCCACTGTATAGATGAGGCTTCCAAATTTCCCTGCAAACGGTCCCAGCTTTTATACAGTTGAATAAACAACTTTACATCTTCAACTGTGGAACATATCTGGTGTAGTTTTTTCCTTGTTAACTTTCACCTCGAGTTTGGCCAGAACATCGAGAAAAAGATAACAAGTGTAAAAGCATCTGGTGATCGTGATCATGTGTATCTCAGCAAAGCCCGTCACCACCCCGTTACATTCTTTTACCTAGAGCTCTGTTTGACAGTTTGAGATGGGTGTATCTGTTTTTGACAAGTGTGGCTACTGTTACACAACTGTTATCCTACAGCAAACGTTATAGCAAAGTTCTATCAGCGTCACAGCAAAGCTTGTGTAAATTGGCAGATATTCATAAGGCAATACATGGCATGTGTGGTCAGTATCATACAGATCAGATATATTGTTAGGTTGTGAGGTTCATCTAGAGCTCAGCTTTGGTTCAGGGCCTCACTGCTCAGCCCTAGTATTTCAATTTTATAACAAAATCCTGTTGCTGGGGCTGGCCGCAGCCCTGACCCGGCCGTCTTGCCCTGCTCCTCTGCAGTCTGTTACATCTGCTCGCTGGTGCTGTGCTGCCTGCTGACCTGCGCCATGCTGCTGAGGACACTGGTGATGCACAGGTACGGGGTGGCACCTCCTCCTCTGGCCTTCGCCTTGTCACCCAGCCGGGATGCAGCTGGTTTTTCTCCCCAGGAACAACCTGAAGGCGCTGTACCAGGGAGCTGTGCTGGATGTTTTCTACAAAGCCCATATCCTCCGCCCATCCCGACAAGCCGTTGTCTGCTGGATGAGCTTTGCCAGCTTCCAGACAGCTTTTGCCTGCCTGGGTAAAGGGGGCTGGGGGAAGCGGGGGTGGATGGGTGGTGGACCCCCACCTTGCACAGCCTACCCTGGCTTTAAGCATCTCTTCCCCCTTTCTTGCTCCATTTTGGCTCTGGGGCTTTTTGTTCCTCTTTCCCCAAACACGCTCTGTCCTGCTGTGGGGAGGACCATGATGAATACCAACTGGTGGGGAAGAAAAAAAAAAAAAAGGGCGAGGGGGACAATGATGACTCGTTTTGGCTCGAGCCCAAACATTTTGATTTGAGAAGCTGTCGCAGCATCCTTGTGCAAAGGACTTGTCTATCTCCTCCGATCCCAGCTTGCACATCCCGGGTGCTCCTTGCTGTGCACCTTCCCCAGCACAGCTGGGGGGGCTGGCTTTCCCACGGATGGCTGGAGGCCATCAAAGGGGGTAGAAATCCTCACCCCACCATGGTTTGGAGGCATTTGAAGGCCTCTCTGCCCCGTGGAGGTGACTCTGAGCAGTATCTGTGGTGATGCACATGCAACACCTGCTGGTATCGTCACCCTGAGGCTGAGGGGCCGGGGGGGTGACAGAAAGACAGGGGTTGCCACCAAGTCTGTTGGTGACCACCTCTCTGGAAAGGAGACCTATTTTGCAGGCAAATTGCAGAGATTGGTGTGGAGGTACCAGGTGGGGAACACTGGTCTTTGCACCCCTTTGTCCACCCAGTGCTGGGTGCATCTCGCTGTGCTGCTGTGAGTCCACCTCCTGCTTCAAAATCTTGGGTTTCAAAGCCATTAAAGCAAAGCAGCGGAGGTGGAGCACAAGCTTGAGCCCAAGGAACCACAGCTGCTGCTGCTGTCGGTGTGATTTATGATTAGAAATCAGAGCTCAGGCTGAATTGTGATGACGAGGCATCAGAGTTGCAGCCCCGAGTGATGGCTCTTCTCAGCAGGGATAATGCGGGGAGCGATAAGAAAGGTTGGACTTGTAATTAAATCCTGCGCGGAGCATTGTGTAGGGAGCGGGGGCGGCAGGTAAGGATCTCACGGGCTTTTTACAGGATTAAAATTAAAGACATGGAACAAGCACAGGTTTGGGGAAGAAGAGCAAGAACAAGAATCACTTCTCCATCCTCCTCCATGGATTTCTCTCCCCATGTCTCCCTCCCAGGTCTCCTCATCCAGCAAGTGATTTTCTTCATCTGCTCGGTGGGGTTCACCTTCTTCATCGTCATCCCACTCCAGTCTGGCACAAACACGCACCTCTTCAAAATGATCCAGAACATGTGGTGAGTGCTCGCAGCACTCGGGGAGGGATGGAAGACCCTAGTGGGTGGCCCTGGTGTGTTTTGGGGTGCTCCCTCAAGGGGAGGCTCTACATCGGGCTCTTTCAACTTTGCTGGAGGTTTCTGCTGCCTGGGATGGTGTCTCATGGTTGGGACATTCCTGGTGTCCAACCTGCCTCTTCCCTCCCCTCCAGGCCCTTCTGGTTGACCCTGGTTGTTGCCATCATCCTGCAGAATTTGGCAGCTCACTACCAATTCCTGGAGCAGCATCCCCTTCAGAAGGAGCTCACCAACAGGTATGGGGATGTGGGGGGCCTTTGGGACAGAGCTGTTCCTCCTGAGGTCCAGGACCCCCGGACTGTGTTGGGTTTACACATGCCCCTCATGTCGTGGTGTCCTCTGTGTTGTCAGCTCCCTGGGGAAAAGCCTGAAAATTCTGAGGGGTTTAAGTGGCTCCATGATCCCAGAGAGGTTCCTTTAGATGCTTTAGAGAGCCATGGTCCATTTACAGCCTTGATTTTGGTGGGGTGAAGCTGGTGAGGTCTGTGCCCTGCTCCACCATCCCTGTTTGCAAGCCTCAGAGGAAGCCCAGTTCCCTCAGGATCAGCTGGACCAGTTCAGACATTGTCAGCGGACGTGATCCCTCGCTCACACGTGGTGTCACTGCCTCAGCTGCCTCCTTGGGCTAAAGATCAGGTTAACAGATGGAGCTGGGTGTCCTGCTCCCTTTCACTTCCATCATCTCCATCACTTGCCCATCTTTGTGGGGAAGCTGCTGTAGGCTCTCCTGGCCTCCACGGGAGCTGGTCTTCCACGTGTCCTCCATCCCGAACCCCCAGATTCATGCCATGGCTGGTATTTAAGCTTTCAAGGAGAAAATGGAGACCCTGTGCATGCTGGAGGCTAAGTTTTGAAGTCCTGACAGTGCACCAGGCTGTCTCCTCTCCAAGAGCCCTGAAGGATGTTTACTTCTCTCCATGGGATGGAGACACCTCAAACAGGGACCGTGTCTGCTGGGGTGGGAGAGAAGGGTGGAAGGCTTATTTTGGCAGGTTTCTCTGGCAGGGAAAGGCTGTGCTTTCCGTCCCATGGTGTTTGTGTTCCTCACTCCTCCTCCTCCACCCGCAGGCGAGCTCTCTACATAGTCACCTACCTCCTCTTCCCCATCAACGTCCTGGTGGGTGTCCTGGCTGGCGTGTGGAGGATGGTAATTTCTGGCCTTTATAATGCCGTCCACTTCTGCCAGCTGGACATCAGCCTGCTGAAGACCTTCGACCCCGGTAGGACACTTGGGGGGATCCCTGTGAAGCCCCTCTGAGTGTGGGGATGGATGGAAAAGCAGGACTAAGCAGGCAACATGAGGAGACACTTGCTCCTGTTGTCCTGTTGGTGGGTGATGCCCTTGCTGGGGTCTCCTGGGCTTCACCAGTGGCCAGACCCCATTCCCACCAGCAGCAGACCCTCAAGGCAGCAGGGAGAGGACCTCAGCCCTTCCTCTGCTCTTCCTGATGGGGTTTTGGGAGCAGAGCTCATCCCCAGCTCCACGGGCAGAGCAGCTCTGGCAGGGTGGAGATGGAGCCTTGCTCCAGGGCAGGAGGGAGGGGGGGAACCGTGAAGTCTGCCCACCCCCAGATGTATTTACTGTGGGCTGTGTTCCCCCAGGCTACCACACATACTGCCACTATCTGAAGATGGAGGTCAGCCAGTCCCACCCGGTGATGAAAGCCTTCTGCTTGCTGCTCCTCCAGCCAACCCGGCCAGAGGGGCCACACGGGCTCCAGGCCAGCAACGTGGAAGAAGGTGAGACCTTCCCAGTGCCAACTGGGGGACGTGTGGTCATTGCCGTGAGGTGGCATCGGGGTCTCCTCTGTGGGTTTGCTGCTCCTCTGGAGATGCTGTTGGTGCACAGCCATTGAGGGTTGTGGTTCTGCTGCCCAGGAGCTTCCTCCGTTCCTCTGCCCGTGCAAGGGCAGGATGGGGTTCATCTGCTTTCAGTGTGTAGATGGCATCTGGGCAGCCCCAAGGAGGGGGAGCTGGGGCTGAAATCGTTCCCCCCTGTCCTGTCTCCTTTCAGGCATCCAGCTGATGCAGCCCAAGAAGGCACCGCCCAGCAGAGCCCGGTTCAAGCAGAGCCGAGCCCGGTGGTGGCTGGCTTACACTCTCCTCAACAACCCATCGCTGACAGCTTGTCGGAAAACTGCCCTCTCCGACCCCACGGCCAACGGCACCCAGCTCAGCCCCCCCAAGCCCTGACCGCCGGAGAAGCCCCCCATCTCTCTCTGCCTCCCATGCACGCTCATGTCCCATCCCATCCCCATCTCCTGTTGACTCTCCTCCTGCACTGGCAAGAATTTTGGGCATCTCTTGCCCCTCTCCAGCCTCTGGTCCCTCTCCAGCAGTGATGGGGGCTGGTTTTTAGCTCTAGGTCCGTGCTGAACCACTACCAACATCCAGAGGCAAAGACAAATGGGTCACCTCCAAGCCTGACCTGGGCGGAGAGGGGTCGATGAGCCAGGCTAAACCCTTCAGGCATCTTGGAATTATTTTCTTAAGAGTCACTCCTGCAACGAGCCCACCAGTCCTCAACAGTTGCCTTTCCGACACAAGGCAGGCACAAGTGCCCAGCACCAGGCTAGTAAGGAAAGATGGAGAAGGTGTGTGTGGGTGTGGAGGGATCCTCAAGCCGACCAAGCACAAGGAGCTACCTGCATCTCAGCACCATCTCCCTGCGGGGAAGATCTCCACTGCCAACCTCATCCCCAGCTTCTCCCTTTCAGGTCTGATCCTGGCTTTCCTTGTGCACTGTACCTAACCCCAGGACTCTGTTTTCCCCCCAACTTTGTGAAGGCTGAAATCCCTGTCTGCTCTGGGCCATGACGTTGCAGAGACATTTGTCATAATCTCCTTGTAACTCTTGTCCCCCGGGTGCCTCTCACTGCCACCCCGTTTTGTTTAAAGCCAGCAGTTCCCCAGGGCTGGTGACCCTCTGAGTGAGCTGAGCTTGGATCTATAGAAAGCAGTTTTACACCTTGCTTGGACGTGCCAAGTCGGGGAAGGTTAATAAAACACATACCTCATTCCTATGCCGAGGCTGCGCTTGGTCTCTTGGCCGTTCCCGAATAAGCCAGACCTGTCAGGAGGGACAAGAGGGACTGTAGCCGTGTATCTGGGCAATGGTTGGGACTGACCTTGCTCTGACCATGTAGATCTACTTGACCTGGATGTGATGGGGCTGAATCTGCGGTGTCCCCTCCCCACTTCAGGGAAATTTTAATGAAGTTTGCTTTCCCATCAAAGCATTTGGCCCCTAAACCACAGCTCCCACGAAGAATGGGAGCTGAAAGAGGACTTTCTGTGGCTCAAGCACCAAAGGTAGGTGTCCAGGCTGTTGCTGGATCGCCTCTTCCCTTGGTGTGCCCTTTGAAACCAAATCCTGCCTTGGGTGGCCAAAGGATTCCCGGCTTCAGCCTGCGATCGCAGGCAGGGCTTGGGTACATTGTACCCATGGCTCCTTGTTCTTCTTGGTGCCATCTCAAACACCTCACCCTTGCTAAAACCAGTGCCTTGGAGACTTCACAGCCCACCCTGCATGGAGCAGGGCTGTTCCGGTCCAGGGGGTTTGAGCCCCTTGCTCTGGGGATCTCCTTGGAGGTCTTGACCTGCTCTCCGCAGGCTTGCCAGGACCCCCTCCCCTCTTAATGGGGCGCTTATGGTGCGAGGGGGTGAGCTCTGCCCTTTGGGGTGTGCCTGGCATCTCCCCACAACATCTCCCTGGGTGGGAGCAACCCCCCTCCCCAGGAGCTGGACCCGCTCCATCCCAGCGAAGAGAGTGGGTCCCTGGCTTTGCCCGCTGACCCAAGCCACCCGCTGCACTCGGATGCTCAAAGCCCTGTCGCATCCCCTGCCCTGCCCAGCACCGTTTTAATCGTGTTTGATTAGTGTCTGGCACATAGTACGATGTCATCAAACCGGGTGACAGCGGTGACACCGGAAGCAGCTCTGAATAATTTTTTTAAGACAGATGGAGCCCAAGGTGATTCCTACTGTTTTCCCAGCTCTGGGCTTTGGATGTCTGACTGCAGGAGAGATGCAGTGTGGGGTGTCCTGCACACACTGGCTGAAGTGATGCCCTACTCCCAAGGCTGTGCCTTTCTGCCCATCCCAACACATCCCCAGACTCCGAGATGCTGGGGCTTTGAAAGCAGCCTTGGGAAAGCAGCTTTGGTAATCCCTGATTTTTTTTTTTTTTCACTGTTCTGGGCCATGGGTGGAGCTGGATTTCAGCATCTGTTTACACAGCCCTGCCCCAGGCTTCCTGGAGATGTCTTGGCTGGGGCCAAGGTGCAAGATGACAGCCCTGGGAGGAAGATTTCCATGATTTGCTTGTTTTCTTTCCCTTCTTTGACATAAGCAGGATGCCCTGGGGCTGAACCGAGCTCTTCTTCTTCATGGTGGCTTCTCACATCCTCTCCAAACCCTCCACCATCCTCAGTCCTTCCCACCCAACCTTGAACCCATGGTGAGGACGTTCAGGGAGACCCTCTGGCTGAAAAAAGCCCTTTAAAAAAAAAAAAAAAAAAAAAAAATGGAAATTCAGGTCTGGGTCATGCTCTGGCTTTGCAAAAGTGAGAGACAGAGTGGAGCTGCTGGGGGTTGTGGCATCCTGGGCCTGCCCCGGCTGGTGGCTCTGGTGGGTCGGGATGGTGACGCCAAGCACGGTCTCACCTGCGGCATCTGACCCAGGGGCTGTGTGATGCTTAATATTGATAATAACTTGCCATAAAAGCTCAGAGTAAGCTTGGCAAATATGGAGCAATTCACTTTTATGGCGACAAAACAGCCACAAACCCAGCAAAGCTGGGGGGAGCAGCAGCTCTGCAAAGCAGGCAGAGGCTTTCAGGCGTGGTTTATGGCTGCTGGGAGCCTAAATCTTCTTTTTTTCATCCTTATCCCAGGCTCCAAACCCTGTTCCCAGATGAGGTTGCAGGAAGAAGCTCCTGTACTGTACCCCCTGTTCCCAGGCAGGCAGGGAGGGGAGGGCTCTCGCTGGGGTCAAATTGATGTTAAAACTTGTTATTCTGTGAAATGAAACTGAAACTCTTGTCGGGGCTGTGACGTTTTTCATCCTTGCTGCTTGTAGTGGGAAAAATATGCATCTGCTTCTTAGCATCAAAGGCCGTTTGGGCGAGGAGCCACTGGCTGCT